CTCACAGCATGTTAAGTTGGTAGTTCCCTTGAATGTCTTGTTCCTTTCTGGTTACTGACCTTGCTGCATAGATTTTTGCATCAGTTTCTGTTGAATTAACTTCAGTTTTGCTTGTAAGTTTTCACAAAAATACCATTCTTGTTCAGCTTGTGGTATGAGATGTGTTAAGAAATTGAGAGATGCCTTATAAAGCCTTAGTTGTAGGTACTTAATTAAATTGATCATGGAAGTTATTTTTGTAGTGCATGCGTGCAGTTCTGCATTTATTTTAGGAGGAAGGACTGCATTCAGCAGTGGCATAGGCACAGTGCCATTTTAACTATTTGTTAAATGGCCAGTGCTCTTGGGAACCTGTGAGAAGCCTCTGCCTAGGCACCATGAATTATCTTACAGTAGCAATCATGTTTTTGTGCATGTGTGGGTGCACTCATTGGGATTTGTTCATCTTTAAAAAATTATATTGCTTCTAGCTTTTGTAACTTCATCCTAGATTAGCTAAAAAAAAATCTTTCGGATTTTATTTGCAAAGTAACAAAGTAAAAATCTTGTCCAAGTTCTCTAGCTTCATCATTTGTAGTGTATAGGCTTAATTCCAGAGCATTGTCTTTTGAAAGTGAAGAGTGACTTGTAGTCATAACATCTTACCATAGAATAATTTGCTTTTAATGAGAGTCGTGGTATTAAGTTTCTGACTTTACCTAACAGTTATCGTTCACATCTTATGCATCACATATGTTTGCATTTCTACATCAACTTTTCCTACAGTTTATAGTAACTTGAGTGAATATCATTTTTGAGATATTTTAAACTTCAAAAATGATTATTCTTTGCCTAAGATTGCTTGGGTCAGAATGAGAAAGGACTACAAACTTGGTGAGCACTAAGACTGAGAGAATTTTTTCGGAGTAAAAAACAACTGGAAATAGATTACTATAACTTCAAACTATATATTGGTCCTTTAACAGGAGCTTTAAATGTATTGCCCATTTTAGAACATAAATCTAGCCATGTGGCTGTGTACTTTTGTATCTGAAGCAGGAGCTTCTCTTCCTTAGACTGAAAGTGGGGTTCCTTTTTTTTCCAAACTTAAAAGGTGGAAGATAGGTCTAGAACAGAAGAATGCACAATACCACTTGCATGCTGTACCAGTGTTTGCAAGCATGTAGTAAATGCTGTTGCAGATTCGTGGACATCAAGAAGTGACAGTTGCCTTTAAAAGAATGATGAAATGCTTTGTAATGAATCTCTGCCTGAAATCAGCAATTTGTGGTGAGCATCCTGGAACTGATGAGTTACAGGACTAGTTGTGAAAGAAGTTGATTTAAAAATAACACAGCCCTTGTCCTTTTTGTCTGCCAAAACAAAGCAACTATACTCGAAACTCTGTGGTAGCAGTAATTAGTGTTTTACATGCGTATGTGTGAAATCAGTTTAGAGAAGGGGAGAGAGAAAAGCAAATCTACCACCACTTTCATGCTTGTGTGTTAAGCGTAACTTCTTACCAGACTACATATAACTTAAAGAATTGGCAACTTCTAGCATCAAGACGACTGTTCCAAACAAATCCATCACACGCTCACTCATGTTCTTTCTTTCTGAAAGCTTGAGGACGACTGTTCCAAACAAATCCATCACATGCTCACTCACTCAAACTTTCAGAAAGAAAAAACATATTTCCTTTGAGCTGGCAGTCTTTATGTAGCATCTAGCTACTCTATCTGAGATTATCTGTGTTTAAGCAGAGGTCAGAACCTTCAGTCTTGGGAATGCTCATGGTTTCAACTTCAGCTAAAGTATTGCTGTAGAAACCAGCAGTTTATTCAGAAATGTTTGGAAGAGAAAAACTGAGTTCAGTAATCACTGACTGAAGGCCTTCCTGTTAGTGTTCTCTATCATTCCCAACCTCTCCTTTAGGTTGTGTTCCACTTTATTCTTTTCTTAGATTACCTTTAGAGGAAGGAGCCCTACCAGAGTTCTTGTGTGTCCTATGTGCCAGTCCTCCTCGACTCAGCCTTACAATGCTTTGCATTTATTAAATACAGCCTACTACAAAACTGACCTAGCTAAAACTTGGGTGCTTTGTCTGGGAAACACTGAATATTTTTTAATTCCAGATCTGATTGTTGTTGAACTATATTACATAAGGAGCACAAACTGTGCTCCTGTGTGTCTGTGACTTATACATTTGCCAGATGATCTGAATGAATGTGCCCAAGGAATGCTTTGCTAGCACTTTTGCAATAGTGTTCTTGCACTGTGGAAACAGTCTTAGTATGGACTTGACCCGATGAGAAGACACTGACACTAGGAAGCTGCCTTCTGTTTTATTCTTTTACAAATTAGTATCTTTACTATAGATAAAGATATTAAATATTGGTATATCTCTTCACAGGTCACAAGATGTTTAAAAAAAAAACAAAAAAACCCAAGCCCAAAAAACCCCAAAACACACAGATAGGAAAAACAGTTTTATGCCATTTCATAAACTTCTGAAGTTCTCTAAGTACCCATTTTAATGGAAAACATATGCAGGTGGTGTTCAGTATTACCAATTTTGTCAGCTTTTTTTACTGTGGTGGGGCAGAAAACATTGTCTTCCTGTCCAGCTGAAGTTTAGCTATATTGTTGCATATTTTTCTGTGCTCCCCTTTAGATATCAGTAGTAACCAGCAGTTATATAAATCGGAGCTAAGTTAGTGCTGCTTGGTGGTGGATTGCAATTTGAATTCAGACCATAAATGCATTTCTTTGGACTTATGACGAGGTTTCAGACACGTGGTCCCTTCTGCATTTCAATGGGAGATCCTGTACTGTTTTTTTTTTTTTTCAGACTGTTTCTTGGCTGCCTAAGTGAGGGCAACTGCAATCCATGTCCGCATGTCAATCTATGGAGACGACATGCAGCATTACACTGGCCTGACAAGCAAGAAACAGTGTGCTGCTCTTTGCCAAGCAATCTGTGGTAAAGATCATGTAGCTTGCACAAGATAAGAGATCTGCCAGTCTTGATAACTAGCCCAAATCATTCTTTATCCTTTAATATTAAGAGAGAATAGTTTTTTCACATCTGTATGACATGTTAGTATGTGGAAAAAGCTCTTGTGTACTAGGACTTAACATGGGGTTTTTTTGAAGCTCTATCAGTTCTGTTTAACTTGGAGATGTTTACCACCTCTGAAAACTTTGTTTGACTTCTAGGGGCAGCACTAGGAATTAAATATGTCACAGCCTACTGTGTGAAAGTAAGATCCATTCAACTCCTGAATGTACAGTCCCTTATTGAAGCTGTCAAGTAGCATGTCTGATGGCAGAAGCTATTCTTAATGAGAAATGCCAGTAAAATGCAGAATACTGCCCTTCTGTACCCCTTTTGGTGTGCGAACTATGATCAACTGAACGTGTTTCCTTTTGTGATATTTTTTCCCACTTTTTTCCCCACTTTATTTATAATAAAACCATATTCAACCATATGCAAGAGCTAATGCAATGGTGATGCTAATGTGAGTAGCTTGTTGTAATAGTAAGTCAAATTTGTTTCCTTTTAATAAAATATTTACAGGTTTTTATGCTCCTGCAACTTGTGTATGCTGTTTTCTCACATGACTCAAATGTCATGTGTAAAGCCCTCAAGGTAATTTAGTTTCAGTAGGAGGTATGATTGCATTTAGATGTGATTTATATTCTATTACCCTCTTCTTTTGTTAAGAAGTTTGAAACGCGTTTTATTTTAAGGATATGAAAAGTGATAGGAATTTTTATTTCTTGTCTGGCCTGTGATATGACATGTAGTAGGGCAGGATGGAGGCAGCATTGTGGTTGGTGCAAGCTGAACTTTAAAAACAGTGTTATTTCTATAGGCAGAAATTTTGGATGGAAATCAATTCTTTTTTTTAGTACTAATTACTGTCATCCTTAGATATCTATTTCATGCTGTAATTACAAATTTGGATCAATGCGTGATTTATTTCCCTTTTCAGAGCCACTCCTAAAGAAATCTGTCTGCAGCTGGGAAGTTTGTTTTAAGATTACTGCTTTGTAGAGTTCTTGAACTAGGTTGTAAATGGTTTGCTCAAGTCATAGTGAAGGTAGCAGTTTCAGAGCATTGGGGAAGTTTGCCTGGCTATTCTCCTCATGGGGATGTAGCATCTGTGTTACCAAGGAGGAGTAGTTTTGGGTGTTAGATGCCTTTTTTCATGTAACACAGTGTTTGTACTAAGTTGCTGAGAAGCTATGACTGTTCAGAAGTTTATACTGAAACAGTGAACTTTGTAAACTTTTTCGGTGTATGTATTGCAATAGTACTCATCTTTACACAAAGGCCATGCCTGGTCAGAAGTGAACTAAACTTGTTTTGATTAGTTTCCAGTAAGTAACTACTTTTATTATGTGAATTCTAGTAAGCTTTAATAATGTGTGTGTCCTACAGTAAAGGAGATTTATCTGTGAAGTAAGATACACCGGCTGATTTATCAAAGCTGGAATACTTGTCTTTACTGGTTCGTTCTGTCCAGTGTTTGTGCTGCTTCACAATTTCTGAATTGCTGGTTTTAAGTTTTTTTTAAAAAAAAAAAAAAAAAAAGCTGGGGTGTGTTGGATTTTGTCCTGAGTCTTGACAGAAGTGAGAACTTTAGTCAGGCTTGAGAAATATAGATGCCCTTCTGGGGGAGAACATTCGTACACGTACTATTAAAACGCTGATTTAATGTTCTTTAGAAATCATGCTGGCTGCAGAGTGGTGAAGACACTCGTATTTACTCTAATTGTGCTTGTGTTACTAGCTGGATCAGTTCACCAGATTCAGTGCATATATCACTTGACAGAGCCAAGTTATCCAGGTAGAATAAAAATAAACTGCCTACGCAAAGTATGGTCTCTGCTTCCCAAGCCTTGGTTGGGGTGGAGGGGGTGGCAGCTGCTTCTGGGAGGAAGGGAGGCTTCCCTCGTTCTGTAGCTGTCTGGTGTCTGCCTTCCCAGCCATCACGAATGTTTTCTTTCTGCAGATGACACGATTGGTGCTGCCCAGCATGCTGGAAAGGTGAGTCACACTAACACTATCCAGACAAAGTCATCATTATTTATAGGGGAGAATCCTTTCTTGAAAAATTCATTACTGTGACTAATCAGTCCAGTCTCCATGTTTTAATGGCAGAGTAATGCTGGGTGAGTCACGCTGATGGTGCATGAATCATCAGACGGTGGAAGCCTTTTCCACTCGATTCCCTTTTTATTTTTCCTCTCCCTTCTCCACTGTTGTGGTGATTCCTTTTAAAACAGAATTAAAAAGCCTGTCTGACTCATCAGCACTAACTCAACAACCTGCTATTCTGAGGGGGTGGTTACAGTTCCTGGGAATAACCTTCTTAAGGCTATTTCTCTAAGTCATTGTAAGCAAAATGGATGCAAAGAATATGTTCTCATTATACGGTAGGAGGTGTATTGAGGAAAGTCTGTGATCATTTGGTAAAGTAGAATTGGAGACCAGCTCTTTAAAATAAGAGTTAATGCATACCACTCTCACTGCTAAAGATGTGTACTGACTTCCTAGCTAGCTCCCAGGTGAAACTAAAGATACAGAGCTTCAGTGTAGTTCCTCCAGGTTGCTTTCTAGCTGATGTTGACTATTCCACGATGTTAGTTGTCCCTGTTGCAGTCCTAAGCCTGGCTTGCTGGGGGTTGCTCTAGGTCAGATCTGAACTACGTTGACAAAACTGAGGAAAGAAGCTGTGTAGAACATGCATGATAGCCCCTGTGTTAATACCTCCAAGTGAATACTATAGGAGGAGAGCACATATGTGGCAAGCATGCAAATCTGACAAAGTTTTACTTAAATATTTATTCTTGTATCATCTTGCTATCTGGGAGTCTTCATCACAGATCAGGGTTAAATTGTGCTAACCTTGTAAAGATGCAGAGAAAGTATTTCACATTTGAAACCAAGTTTCTTCATGGGTGCAAACTCAGAGCTAGTGGCCAATGTGGGAGTCAGCATCTTGCTCGTCGGGGAGATGTCAAGCTTAGATTTTTTTTTTTTATTTCAGACAGTCTGTAGATAAAAATGGAAGTGTAGAAGGGCTTATACTCCATGTGAAGAAATTTGAAATAGAAAATAAGACACAGGACAGCTCTGGGGGAGCAGTAGTGTCCAATAAAGCTCTGACAGAGGATCAGTGTCCTAGTACAAAGATGGTGATTACTCAGTGTTTGTAAGTTTTAAAAAAAAAAAAAAAAAATTGCTCGTTGCCTGTATCCTGTAGTTGACAGAAAGGGGCCTGTCTTTCATGAAACCACTGTTCTGTGAAGATGTTGGCATGATGAAAGCCACTGTGCTTTCTTTAAGGATTTAATGTTATGAATTTTTGTTCCAGTTTCAAAATTTCAATTTATTGCATCTCTTTTGTCTAAAGAAAGATCTTCTTAAAAAAAATCTTCTAAAGAAAGATCCTTATCTAAGGAAATGCCGTAGTTACCTGTTTGACCAAGTTGATCTCTTCAGCTTCTTAGGACAGGAATGATGTATATTCTGCTTAACAGAAGAACATACAGAGGATATTCTGTAAGCATTAAACTGCATGAGATGATCTGAATGAAAGGCAGTAAACTGGATTCGTGCTGGCTTCTACATCTGACTACCCCTGAACAAACCACTTCATTTTTTTCCCTCCCCCCCGCCTTTTCTTGACTACATGCTTACCTCCAAAGTTTCCGTATTCTCTTTAGTTTTGTTAAGTCTGACTTTGCAGTGCACAGAAACAGTGTCTGCAGCTGCTAACTCCTGCATAGTCATCGCTCACAAGCCATTAACACTGTTAAGAGTATATAACCACAGCAGGATATGGAAGTCCAGTGAATCCAAGAGCATGAATGAATGGTAGCTGTACTCAGCTGCTCTTTGGGCCTGCCATAAACTAGTCATGTGGGACTGTAGGCTAAGAAAAAGGGGCCCAGGTTGTTCTAGGAATAAAACTAGGCTAGGAATCCTGTTGTTATTCCTCACTTGTTCAAGGAGGATAGCCTTTTGAAGAGATAGATGTAGCATAGTGCACTAAAGTGTTTTGTAGCTGTGGTATGTATGTTTATGGATTTGAATACTGGCTTTATGGTAATATATTACAAGACAAATGCAAAAATAGTAGGCTTTGCATGCTTTACATCTAGATTTATAAATGAAAAACACCTACACCTTGGTATGTCTAATACTTTTTATTTGCAATAAACATAACAGCTTTAGATAAATGCCATTTCTAGTAATGGTGTTTAGGCTGTCTGCTATGGCTCCTCTCCGGTGTTCTGAACATTTGCAAAAGTGACAATTTATAATCTGCACTTCCTATTACACTTAAAAGAGCAGTTCCTCTGCAAGTTTTTAGGCTACTATCTAAGGTAGGAGACTTGTCGAACTAAAAATTGAGCCTCTATATCTTTGGGAGCAAGAAAAATCAGTTGACTGTTTCTAGACAAATATCAAACTACAGTATTTATTGCCAGGGAAGTAGCAAGTGCCTAATTACATTACAGAGGAAGCTTGCTCTTTCCACTTGGCGTACAGCTGGAGCAGGCGGTGGTTGCCATAGCAACAGTGAGCTGGCTAAATATAGCATCCCTCGCGCTGTACTGCTTAAGGTAGAATGAGAGGGAGGTGTTAGGGTGTGTTAGGCAGGCCACCTATCTGTATTCGTTTTAACCAGCTCTAAAAGAAGTACATAGTTGAGCTGGATGTAGCCAAATTTTTTGCCACACCAAAACCCTCACATTGCAGATTTGCCCTGAAAACTTTTTTTTCCCTGCAATACCTGCAAGAAGCAAAATTGCAATTAGAGTAATTGGAAGTGTTCCCCACGCACGCATCTTGGTTTTTCTTTTATCTGGTGATTTAAGCTATGAGCTTTTACGGTTAGGGCTACCTTCTTTTGAAAGCCCCCGTTGCTTTGACCACATTGAAGAGAACAGTACATGGAGTTTTTGCAAGGGACCGCTGTTAATTTGTAACATTTCCTAGAAAGTCTCCTTTACTGGGTCAGACTGTTAATTCACTGCACCTAGATGATGATCGCTACTCCTGCTGGAAAGTTAGTCTAGCTAGTCACTGTAAGACTGGCTTGTGCCAGACTCTCTTCAAAAGCTTTAGTTTGTATTTGTGCTTCAAAGCATGAGGTTTGTGGTTATTCACATAAATGCTTACCCCTTTTGACTCTTGTTAAGCTTTTGTCCTCAAGTCTTGTGGCAATTACTCCTGTTTCCCGACTATGGGAAGAGCACTTCCTTTTATTGGATCTAAATTTCAGAGTCTCACAAAAGAAAGATGACATTTATTTATTATGAGAGGGTAAATCAAGACCTTGATCTTTGTCTTTCATTAGTCTGTATACTCTTATCATGAATCCTCTTAATAGTCTCTTAAATAGCTAAATTGAACCAATCTTTTCACCTCTTCGATGTATGAGGGCTTTTCTGTGCTTTTTCTCCCTGCTCAAATCATCTAATCAGTTTCTAAATATTTCTCTTATATATTTGGAGGAATAAAGTGTAATATAAGCTTTCAGTGATGGTGCATCTGTTCCTGCCATTCCCTAACCTCCCAGTTTTTGGCTGGTTTTGGTGACTGTTGCACAAAAGAAGTTCTTGTTGACTTTTTCATCAATGTTCAGGTTTTTCAAGGGTGTGGATGGAGGATTTAAAACCCAGCAAGGTTTGTGATTAATTCACATTACCTTCTTTAGTATGCATTGTTGGTTTTGTTAATATTGATTTTTTTCACCTGCCATTCTGCAGCCTGTTCACAGAGCAGTCTGAGGTCTTTAAAGAAGTTCCCTTATAGTATTCTTCAATCTGGGTAATCTCTAAAAACTGCTTGAATACTCATTTTGCTACTAATCCCCCATGTGAGCTCGTGAATAAATATCACAAGCACCACCTCTCTTGATATGAAAAACTTCTGACTTCCACTATGAACCTTTTTGCTGTCTTAAATACATGGTTAGTTTGTGATCTTTTTTTCATAGCTCATGTTTTGATCAATGTTACTACTTCACCAGCTGAGCTTTGCAGGTAACTCCTGAAAAATACAAGAGACTTTGGCGAAAGTGTCTTGAAATCCTGGATAATTGTGAAATGATTCTTTGCTGTGTCAGCTCCTTCAGTTCTAGAAGTGAATCAATCACATGTTTGATTCACACTTGAAGCCAACTTGGTTGGAACCTACTGTAAGGATTCCCAAAGAATTTCATTATTCTAACTTTAATTGTCGCTTAAACCTAGCAGTCTATTTTTAAGATGGCTATTTAAATCATTGTGGCAGCAGTGGCATAGGGTATGCAGAGATGAACAAATATAATGAGGAAACTTGTGTGTATGTGAATCTGCAGCAGTTCAGTTGTATGACAGCAGTGTGTATGTACTCTGCGTAGTAAACACAATATTTAGTCATATGTTCAAAGGTAAACACTCAATTTACTAGTGGGTAATAAAAAGCAGAGAAGCAGCTTTCACTGTGTTAGGCTTCTTGGTAGCACCCTTTGGCAACTTGTTTGCCCTGACTTGCCTGAATTAGCTCCTATCGCTACCTTGCGCAAAGGTGTGTGTATGTATGTGGAGCTCGGCACAGAAACGGACGTGCTCAAAATCAGTCAGTGGATTGGAAGATTCGGGAGTCTTTTATTTTCTGTCCGAACTGCATGTCCTTTAACATCTGCTCTGCTAAATATTTCTAACTAATGTCAGATTCTTGCCTTAACCTAAATATTACTATGTAATACCAAATGTATTACTGTAATACAGCTATAAAACAACTTCTTTTCTGAAGTCATCCAATGAATATCTTCTGTACTATCTATGAAAAACACAGTATTTGAGCAGTAGATTCAGATACTTGCTAGCTTGAAGACCCATCATGAAGTATGTTTAGAAGTTATACTTAGGCTCATCATGAGAGGGATTATCGAAATGTAAACCATATAGCAAACTTCTATTGTTATTTCTGCCACTTTGGATTTAGAAGCTGTCTTTTGGACTTTTGCCAACTTAATGATGCAAAGTTGCATGAATGTAGCCCTATATGTATAGAGCACGATTCTCTTGCTTGGATGTAGCTGTATTGACTTTAGTGTGGTTATTCCCAATTTATATGAGCCTATGAATACTTACATCCTGCTGGAAAGCACAGTAGTAAATTTCAGTTTAGAATTTGGCTGGGGTTTTTAAAATAGATCTTTGTAATCTCACTTGCATCCCAAAGATTTTCTTCAGACTTGTAGTAATTTTATGAAATATGAGAAATGTTTTCTCTATTGCATGGTAATATCTTCACTGCCTTTCAGATCAAAAGGAGTAATCCTGAATATCTCCTCAGCTGCTGGGATGCATCCAACTCCACTGCTGACTCTTTACTCTGCAACAAAGGTAAATGTTCTCTTGCACATTGAAATCAACTGTCAATCAGCCAACATTACTGGAATAAATGTTTCGGTGTCCATCTAGTGGTGCTTTCAGGAACTAGAAGTGCGGGGTTTCTAACTTAAGCTTCCACTAATGGCAAAATTTGAGGGTCAAGAGAAAAATGAGAAGGGCTTACTATCAGGGCAACGACTATTCTGTGTCCTTCATCACATGTGCTACTTTTACATGAAAAAGGATGCTAGTGTACCAAATAAGCTTAGTGTGAAGCAGAGGAAGGCCATTGACAAAGCAATTTTTTAACACAATTTCTTATACTGAAATTTTGGAACTTTTCTCCCTAATTTTATTAAAGATAAGTGTGTTTTTTAAGTAGGGCTCTTCTATTGCTTTCTGGAAGCAAAAATTTGTCCCCCTCAGTAGTTACTTCCAGTTTTGTATCTCAGGTAAGAGAAAGAGTAGAGCTCAAGTGCCTCACCAATGCCAAACAGGCAACTTGCCTTGATCTGCTGGTGCTACCTCCTGCTAATATAGTGCAGTATGTGGTTTGCTTTTTTGCGATGAGTGTGTATTATTGGCTCATGTTCAATCTGGCATCCACCATAACTTCCAGGTTTATTGCAGCAGGGCTGTTACTCAGCCAGCATTGAGGCGTGGGGTTGTTCAACCCTGTATGCAGGTCTTTGCACTTCACTTTTTGCCAATAGCAAAACCTCATGAAGTTTAGTAATGCTCAAGTTTATCAGAGTCCTTTGGACTGAATCTGTTTGTCAGTCACTCCATCCAAGTTAGTCATCTGCAAGCTTGCTGAGGGTGCACTCCATGTTGTCTGGGCTGCTGATGGAGACGTTGAACAGTATGGGCCTCAGGACTGACCTGTGGGGTTCTCCCCTTGTTACAGGCAGCTGTCAAGCCATTAATCATCCTTTGAGCCTGCTGGTCCAGCCAGTTTTCAGTCTGTCTAGCGATTTGTTCTTTCAGCACATGTCTCCTTAGCTTCTGAATGAGAATGTTGCAGAAGACACTGTCAGTAAAGCTTCTGACATTATCTACTGTGTTTCCCTTGTCTAGAAAGCCAGTCACTCCATCGTAAAAAGCAATCGGGTTGGTCAAGCGTGATTTGCTCTTGGTACATCTGTGTTGAGTGTTTCTGATGTACCTTCTTGTCCCTTATGTGCTTGGAAATGAATTCCAAGATGATGTGCTCCATGATCTTTCTAGGGACTGAGATAAAGCTAACCAGGTCATTCTTGGCTTTTCAAAGAGGGACGTAATATTAGCCTTCTCCCAATTCTCAGGGACCTCTGAGTTGTCAGTTTTTCAGATACCATAGGCAGCAGACTCTCTCCCATGCTAAATGCAAGAGAAATGTTTACACTGATATTCAAGCAGTGTGGCACTTACAGCTTTTTCATTTGCATCTGGCAGTTAACCTGAAGTATTTCAAGGATTTTGGAATCTAAGCGGAAACCTAACAGCACGAAGAAACCTTCAGTCATTGTCAGTTGTATCAGAACAGACCCACGATTCCTTTAGTATCTTGGTAACATCTCCATATTCATAGAAGAGAATTGATGCACGCTACTGTTTTATTCGTGCTGGAGGAAGGGATATTTAAGTTTAGAAGCAATGGAAGCCTGATTTAGAGTTTCAACTGACAAAACGTCCTCTTGAAATAGCTGTTTCCTGAGAGCACAGTTCTTTGCTTTAATGTGAAAGGTCACTTGCCTTGTGTCAGTGTCAGATGATTTGAGCTTTTGATTTTGGTGATAATATGACTTAAACTGTGTTGGTTAGTTTTTTTTCAATGAGAACCTCAAATATTCCTCCCCCCACCCCGAGAAACTCAGTTGCATGGTAAGTAATCTGCCTATTCTCAGCACTGCTCATCTTCTACCAAAGCAAAATTAGTAAGCATGAAAGTGAGTCCCCTCATGTAGCAATAGAAAGACTATATCTGCAATTTCTCGGTGTTTTTCCTCTATATAAGAGGGTTTTAAACCATAGTATTCTTCAGGCCTAAGTTAATGACTTTGTCTAATTGTCAGGAATGGACACAGTCTAAATTGTTAACCTTAGGTTAACCTTACTTTGGAGAATTCCATATTTTACAATGAAATGAAACCTTTCTAAAGGAAACATTCCTATTTTTTCAACAGGCTTCCCTATCTACCCACATTAATATTAGTGAGAAGTCGAATACAATTCCTTCCCATCATGTCTTAAGCATTTGGGTTTGTTATTGGATATCCAAAGAAAAGAAACATTCTTATTTTATGTTTATTTAGGGGATGTTTATTTTAAGACTGTTTTTATTAAAGTTAAAGGCTGTTGGAGGGCTTGATCCTCTGGAGGCAAAAAAATCTCAACCTGCGTTGAATAAATTCATCAAGAAGAAAACTCTGTAAGGATTATTTGGACAATGGATGTGGATAAATGCTTGTTCTGTGCCATGTAAAAGGAACTTCTCTATGGCAGAGCTCTTTGTAAACAGTAGAGGTGACGGTCTCTTTATACAGTCTTGCATATTTGAAAAGCAATAACTGATTTCAGGAATCCCAGGCAAGTAGAAATAGTGGGAACTTTTTCTGAGGGAGATGAAAGAACTTTAAATCAAAACAAATCTATGTTCTGTAAAATATTTTTGATAGATCATTGCATATATACTGTGGCGTGCATGTAAATGTAAATCTAGCAGCTGTGTTCAGGTGCTGCACCAAGCAGTTTGCACGTGTATGCAAGTTTCTTAATTGTTACAACAGGATGGCTAGCTCACTGAAATCATAGCAATTAGGCCTGATTTTTCAGAGACCTGATGTTAAGTACTGGATTTCATTAAGAACTTATACTAGAGGGAGAGGGAGGAGAACTGAACAGTTGGACAGAAGGTGAGCTTATCCGGCTCAATGAGCCTCCTAACTTGTGCATGTAACTTGAAGAGTATGAGGTCCTTCTCTACTACATAGCAAGATCTGGCTTTCCTTCTTTTCTATGAAAAAGTATCTGTAGAAATAGCCCAGCAGCATAGGAATGTTTCTGTTTTGTGTACAGGCAAGTTCTGCAGCATAACTTTAAGAGAAAACATACTGAATGTGCAAACTAAAAGCATTGGTTTCAGCTAGGACTTCTGTTAATCCACTAATGACAGTCAGAAAAGGAGGATTGTAAAACAGATGCAACAGGCTTGGCTGCTTGCTTTGATGCAGGTCTGAAGCAGCTGCTGCTGTTTTTAATAGCCTTTTTTCTCTAGACTTTTTCTTAAATACTTAATTTTAAAATACTTATTTACTACTAACTTTAGTTATAGATAAAATGCTTTAGATCCTTCAGTGGAGGGTGCTTTATTCTACTTGGCTGTATTGCTTCACTAAAACAAAGCAGGATAGTGGAACCTAGTATTTTGTCTGATCAGAATGGGAGAGGGGAAAAAAACAAAAAGGTGATTTAGAAGGACTCGGGATGGGGGAACGTGGAATTTATGCTGGTTTGCATTCCTCAGCATGGCATAAGACATGCCTTTCATTTTAGAATAAGTGATAAGGGGGAAGAAAGCACATGGGTCCCCATGTATGGAGATGGCTATATCGGATGTGAAGGTGTCTTGAAGATATGTACACCCATCCACCTTTTAAGCAATTTAACTTCCTCCTTTAACCTTTTGCTCTTGTAATTTCCCAGACTTCTGGAAGTCTGAGAATGATTTAAACATAAGTTTTATTTTCATTTTTCTTTAACTGCACTTAATGTAACAAATTAGTTTTTCTTCCTGAATTACAAAGGATCTTGTTTTCTTAGACTGAGTTTCATTTCAGTAAAAAGCTTTATAAGCTTAGGATTTCTATTCAGGTGGCATTGCTTTAATCTACAAAGTTTCTTTGAAAATCCAAGTTCTTCATTTTGAAGATAGGAACTATAACTAGAAATTCAAACATGCTTACAAACCACTACAAGTTATAGTTTCCATTTTAATGCATAGCATGTTGTGTTTTTACCTTCTTTTCTCTGCAGGCTTTTGTGGATTACTTCTCCCGAGGTCTCCATGCAGAATACAAGAGCAAGGGCATCATTGTGCAGGTGAGTAGAGTTTGTTTCATGTAAGTGGGGTTACCACAGCAACACTGGTGTCTTGGTAACAAAAGGAAATCATCATATTCTTATTCATGAATATATGACAGATTAAGGATAAGGATTTCCTTTGATCCTGCTAGCAGTTTTCTGAAGCTGCTCCGGAACAATGCATCCGAAAGTAACTTTTTTGTTAGCTGGTGGTGGTAATTATACCTTTAAGTAAGAAATATTTCATAAATCTGTTCCTATCTAACTCTGTGGAATGCATCTTTATACAACTTAATCTTGTGGAATGTGTTTCTGGAGTGCACTTGCACAGACATTAGATGAGTAACTCTCGAAGACTAGAAGAGTTAGCAGCAGTCTGTTCCCTGTAGTTTCAGTGAACCAACTGCTAGTGTAAACATAGTAGCAAAACAAAGCAAGAAACCTAAAAGACCCTTTCCATGTAATGGATTGACTTAGTTTGTCTTAAATACAGAATCCCACCTTCTTAAGCAGTTTGGTCTCCCCTCCCTTCATTTACCTGCCATGGTTTTAATTGCTTTTGTAGGGATATGATAGCAAACCAAGCCAGTCACACAGCTTTACAAGGTTTTGCTTTAATATCAGTTCTCATATGCACTTAAGATTTGCTTCCAAAACTGAAATTTCCAAATTTGAGTCAGTTTATGGGTCACAACCATTCAGTTTCTCATTACTTATTGCGTATATTGCTCTGCAGAGCAATAGTTACTCAGGTCTTCATAAAAGTGGCATGCGACTCTAGCTGTACTGCAAGGACAGCTGCGTATCTCTAATTCAGTACGGGTTTTTTTTATAAGCATAACTAGCCAATGTCCATGCCTGTTGCTTGCCTCCCCATATTCTGTATGGTGGTTCTTAAAACTGCAAGAACTCCAAAGGCCCTACTAGGCGTAAGGCACAACGTTGCCTGTGCTACTTGAGTAATCACGGTGAGCACCCATGTGAGCACGGGTTTTGTTGCTGCTTAAGAGTGTGGGAGTTATTACCAACTTAAGGCTATGTTACCTTTTTTTACTTGCTACATTTTTTTCCCTGTAAGGCATACTTTTCAAAACAAGAATTTATTACCAGGAAATGATTTTACACTGGTATCAGATCATAACCCCTAAAGTTGTAAAATTCCCAAAACATGAGTTCTCAGAGTGTCTGACACTGAAGTAGCAGCATGAGAAGTACCTTTAGCCAAAGCAACTTGCTTCTGAGCTGCTCTCAGCAATAGAGGACGCGTGAGCACTCTGAACACAGCATACAGTGCGGTTTGTGTGCTCTCTTGGTTCTTAAAGTGCATTAAGCTGAAACAACTTTCAGCATTTGGTATGTCCTTGTTACTTTCTGGTTGTCGCAGCGCTTTCCAAGTCTTTCACTGGCTTCAGCCCCAGACCATCCTGTAATGGGATGAGGTTTCTACTGCAATGCAAGTTCTTTAAAGTGTGTTTTTATTTTTACTCTCTATCGCTTCTGTCCCCCCTGCACCATTCAGTTTCTGTATTATCTGTGGATTTAACTTCCTCATGTCAGACAGCTGTTCTTCCTATCTGCTTTGTTAAAATGCAAGATGCCCCTCTTCTGACCTGCTGCCTCAGCCTTCAAATAAGACTGAAGGAGCAGGTAGTGCTGGCTTATCTCACTGCCTTGGTCTTCGTGAAAAGCCTCATGTGGAACGTCTGTAAGCACAATGAAATAAAATATTCATGTGAGCAGTATAAGTCCTCTGAATGTGGTTTACATGGAGCGTAACATTGGTGATGTTCCAGAGTTTAAGACAGGGCAAAAAGCCATAGCTGGCAGCTTGCTCATTTATATAGGGCCATTGCATATGGGTGATAAAGAACGATATACAATGGCTTTATAACAACACCTGCACAGAAGAGAAACTTACGGAGCTGGGCACTGCGTATATCTGTAAAAACATGATTCTCTTAACAGAGGAGCATTTCAGGCTCGTGGGTCACAAGTGGAATGCGGTGATGTTCTCAACTTTCTTGCAAAGCTGAAGTTAACTAACAGCTCTGACCTTAGATAATAGTCCAAAGTGTGAGTCCAGCTTGTTCCTGGGATCCTTGTTGAATTTGTTAGTGATCCTGTTCTTGAATCGGGAAGATACCTTTTGCAGCTCTTTGGCTCATCTAAAATCCAAGACAGGATGCAGCATTCGGTGTGAGCGTATGCAGATACAGGTGCTTCAAGGAGAAAAGTGTTACATTTTTGAGATGTGTTATTCCTATGTGCTTTCATAACCAGTTGTTCTCCTCCTTCCTAAGTCTTCTCCATAGACTATTCTGTCAGGGTGAAAGGAAAATGAAGGAGGAGCATGTACTGCTGATCTGTGGCAAAGGAGTGCCCACTGGTACTGCAAAACTGAAAAATAGTCCAGTAACTTATGCTTGGCTAAAGGTATTGAACCCTAACAGTTTGAATGTAATGTGCGGTATGAATGTCCACAGTATGTTAAAGACTTTCTAGCTTGCGATATGGAAAAGCTAAAGACAAGCGTTCAGTGTCTTACATATTTAATCTCACAAAACAGATAAAGATTAAATCTGGCTTTCTGTACCTACAGATACATTTTCCTATACAAAACGTAGGTTTGTTACTACAGTATAGGCTGTGATAAGCTGACTTTTTGCAACTCTCGCGTGTTGGCTGGGGTGCTCAATTCTGGATCACACTGCTTTTTTGTCCCTAAAGGTAGGCAATGAACTGCCACTCTGAGTTATGTGGGCCTGATGACCAATAGCTGTTATAGCATAACAAATTGAAGCTAATTTTATTGCAGTTCATGTCCTTGTAGTTTTGTTCCAGTCTAAGCCACTATAAACCACTAATGAATGTTACAAGTACCTCCCTGTGAAGATCAGCGGACCATCTCTTCTGTGTCCTTAGGACTGCATCCCCTTTAAATGCTTCAAAGTTCATCTCTCTGACCTTCAGAAAGGAAGCACTTTTAAAATAATTCGGTTTGCAGTTCCAGTTAAGATCATTATTTGAAATGGTTGACTCTCATCATGCCAGCACCTGCAGGATACCACTGTGTAAAAAGCAAAAACACAGTGCAGGTAGTATTTTATGCATTTCTGAAGCTTGGCCTAAGCTATATCAATATTACTCGAGTGGAATGCCTTCCCTGTGGAAGCTCAGTTTTGATTAGTGCTTTTACTGAAATGTAGGCATCTTTAAATTCCATATATGCTCTTTGTAGCCTACAGGCCAGTTTAATTTTACAGAAATAGCACAGTAATAGCATAGATTTTAATTCTGTGTTTACTTACATGTAGAGAAAGAGGTATGAATCTGTAGCAGAAATTGGGCAAGAACAAAAGGAATGAAG